AATCATCTAGAATCCACCAGAATGACTACTAGACTGACTTAATTATTAGGAGATTTTTCAGATTTGCTGATTTCCCATGTCCTCACCGTAACACCAGGCCAAACGTAATCCTAAGAGACAGCATCATCATGCCGTTTTAGTTCATGTCTTTGACGTTGTTAATAAACTCTATTGTACCAGGAACCAACTGATGCTGTAATGGTCTGAGTTTCTCTGTTAACCACCTCGCCATCACATGATGCGCCGAGTTGCGCATGTCCTAAATCGGATGAACTCACAGTCCATCCTTGCGGATCTTCAGTAAACCATACAAACAGGGGGTGTGAGTGCCCACTGGTCGAAGGCCTTTCGAGGTAACGGTCGCTTATGAAAACTCCCGTATGGCGTCTTCTTCAGCAGTCAGCTAACTGCAACTCTTCTTCATTCGTGCAACCCCGTTTCCTCGTCAGATTCTTGAACTTCGTTTGGTCTGCTAGAAGGGGCTGTATCTTTACTACGTAGTCCGATCTATTCTTTATAACGGTGCCCGTTCCTTTATTCAGTCTAGTGAGGAAGATGCCTTTGCTCTCTTGCAGCTGTTTTAATTTCTCCACGTGTTTTTTTGTCAGCAATGTCCGGTTTCTTGGTCTTTTATTCAGGTACTGGTAACTACAATTCGCCAATGTTGATTTGAAGTGTTGGACGCTTTATACTGAGATTGGCCTTACGTCGTATGTTTGGTTATAAGGATTCTCCAACCGGGTTTATAACTCTAACTAATTAAACTTTCGAGCAGACACGGAGAATTTAGGACCCAAGTATAGTGTTTCAAATGGACTTCATAGAGGAATGGTTGTGTACGTACCGATCCGCATCCTCGGGTAGTCTTTATTGTGGCCTCATCTCGTGCATTCTTTGAAGAATTGAGGATCTCTTTACGTCTGCATGTTTTCTTTATGTGATGTGACTATAGTTGCTACATTCTTGATCTCTGTCAGGAGGTACACAACGGCACCGCATTGGCACATATGACGCTCCAGTTCTTACATCTTTGCACAAGCACTTTCCAGTTGATTCTCAGCGCACATCTCGTGCGGTCTTTTCAAATTGAGCCGCCATTTTTTCCTGCCTTCATTTGCATGTAAATATTCTTGTATACACGTCAGTTGGCCTACTTCGCCTATTATAAACCAATTTTTAACCCCCTTTGTTTACTTGAACTACAATGACGTCATCAGCGCACGACGCTAGCGCGGTTTTGAAAGCAGTCCAATTAGGGCTATATTTCACGACTTCTCCACAGACATTTATTCAGGAGGTTGAAAATG